ATAGTTTTGCAGAACAAACTAGCAGTTCTATTTACAGAGGCCAAGGATAGTAGTTATTGTGAGGAGAATGGGGCAGCCATTTCAACTTATTTATAAAACAGTTTTGCTCAGGTTCTGGCTCTAGGCCAGCACAATATCACAGTTTGATGCCTGTTGTTAGATGCACACATGTTCATAATTGTTGTATCTTCTTGGACAAGTGACACCTTATTATTATGTACTGCATTCTTTATCCCTGACAGTGGGGAATATTTGTCACAATTAATAATTCAATAATAGACATTATCATTCACTACCATCCACATTTTACTTAGATTTTCTCTTTTACTTAACAAATATTTGTGTTCCAGAATCCCATCTAGGATACCACATCATATGCAGATATCATGTCCCATTAGGCTCATTTTCCTTATGTTCACAATAATTACATCCCTGATTTGGAATTTCTCTGATGTTTTTCTCATGATTATGCTGGATTATGGATTTGAGGGAGGAGGAAGTTGTCATTTTTATCACATCATATCAAAGGTAGCTATCAACACAACTTTTCTGTGTTGATAATAATTTGAGCACCTAAAGAAGAGAGGTTTGTCAGATTTCTCCACTGTAAAATTACTCTCTTTTCACATTTCACTAGTTTACTTTTTGAGAACATGTCACTATACTTTCTTGAGGAGTGTTTTGTATTAGATTGGTGCAAAAGTAAATGTGGTTTCAGACCATGAATTTTAAATCATTATAACTAGGCTCAAACACAGCTTTATTAATCAAAATAGAAACCATTACAATCAACACTATTTTATGAGACAAGGTCTTGCTTTGTCACCCAAGCTGGAGTACAGTGGCACAATCTTGGCTCACTACAACCTCCACCTCCTGGATTCAGGCGATTCTCCTGCCTCAGCCTCCCACGTAGCTGGGATCACAGGTATGTGCCACCATGCCCAGCTAATTTTTGTATTTTTAGTAGAGGCGGGGTTTTGCCATGTTGGTCAGGCTAGTATCGAACTCTGGACCTCAGGTGATCCACCAGCCTCAGCCTCCCAAAGTGCTGGGATCACAGGCATCAGCCACCATGCCCTGCCAACACATTTTTGTTGAATGAGAAATAAGTTTTATTCCTGTAGCGTAAAAAGTCATGCTTCAGGATATGATGAACTATTGGAAAGCACTCTCTGTATCCTGCTGGTTGTGGAAGAAAAATTTGTCGAGATGCTTGAAGAAGTGGTGGTTGGTCAGGTGAATATTGCATATGAGGCAAAACTTCATTGTAGCCCAATTCATTCAACTTTTGAAGCGTTTGTTATGTGATATGTAGTCAGGCAGGCATTGTCGAAGAGAAGAATTGGGCCCTTTCTGTTGACCAATGCCAGCTTCAGGCATTGCAATTTTCAGTGCATCTCATCAATTTGCTGAGCATACTTGTCAGATGTAATAGTCTGGCCAGGATTCAGAAACCAGCAGCAGACCACCAAACAGTGACTATGACTTTCTTTGGTGCAAGTTTGGCTTTGGGAAGTACTTTGGAGCTTCTTCATTTAACCACTGAGCTGGTAGTCGTCAGTTGTTGTATAAAATCCACTTGTGTCCCACATCACAATCCAATCAAGAAATGATTCATTGTTGTTGCTTAGAATGAGAGAAGATGACATTTTTAAATGATGAATTTTTTTTTTATTTTCACTTAGTTCCTAAGGCACCCGCTTATTGAGCTTTTTCATCTTTCCAATTTGCTTCAGATGCTGAATGACCATAGAATGGTCTACATTGAGTCCTTCAGCAACTTTGTGTAGTTAGTTGTAAGAGGATCAGCTTCAGTGATTGCTCTCAGTTGGTCCTTCTCAACTTCCAATAGCTGGAGACTATACTCCTCATCTTCAGGTCTCTCATCCCCTTTGCAAATCTTCTTGAACTAACACTGCACTGTACATTTGTTAGCAGTTTCTGGGCCAAATGCATTGTTGATGTTGCAAGTTGTCTCTGCTGTTTTACAACCCATTTTGAACTCAAATAAGAATTCAAAACATCATTTCCATAGTTTAAAATAAACATAAACAGTAAGAAGTCATTAGCAAAAAAAAGCATTAAAATGATGTATAACATAACTACATTAATTTAAGAATGTATTCCAGCAAATGGCAAATTCCAACAATGCAAAAACCTCAATTATTTTTGCATTCGCCTAATAATCCCCATTGTAGAGATTTTCCACTACCTTGGTTACCTGTACTGCTAGGAATTTTATTCTTTTTGTGGCTATTGTGAATGCTATTGCATTCTTGATTTGGCTCTCAGCTTGAATGATATTGGTGTATAGAAATGCTACTGATTTTGTACATTGATTTTGTATCCTGAAACTTAGCTGAAGTTGTTTATCAGATCAAAGAGATTTGGGGCACAGACTATGGGGTTTGCTAGGTATAGAATCTTATCGTTTGCAAGCAGGGATATTTTGATTTCCTTTCTTCCTATTTTGATGCCTTTTATTTCTTTCTTTTGCCTAATTGCTCTACCTGGGACTTTCAGTAACTTGTTGAATACAAGTGGTAAGAGAGGGCAAATATCATATGTTCTCACTTATAATCAGCATCTAAACTTTGAGTACATATGAACACAAAGAAGGGGACAGTAGACACTGGACTGTACCTGAGGATGGAGGGTGGGGGGCGGGAGAGGACCAAAAAACCACCTATCAGGACATGTGTTTATTCCCTGGGTGACAAAATAATCTGTACACCAAACCCTGGTAACATGCAGTTTACCTACAGGTAAATGTTACCTATAGTAAGGCACATCTGCACATGTATCCCTGAACCTAAAATCAAAGTAAAAAATGAAAATATGTCACTATACATAGCACTATACATAGAGGGTATTCATGCTCCATCTTCTTATGAAAAGAGTATCTGAAAATGTCATTAAAACTTCTTCAACAGGAGCAATTTGCCTGTTTTCCATCATTTATTTCATATTTATCCAGTCATTTATTTGTATCATCGGAAATATTGTATGGAATTATGGCTATTTAATTTACACTGTTTTATAGTTATTTATTCTATTGCTCAAATTGTTTCAGTGTTGGCCACTAGGAGGTCTCTCAGTTGGCTCCGTATCATTTTGAAATACCCACATCATTGTGGTCTTATTTAGATTATTTCTTTGGCTGTTTGTGTTGTTTCACATTTTCTTATTTCAGATACTACAAGATGATCCAGGCAAATTGCCTTTATTTCATGCCCAAGCCAAGTAGCCATGATTTCTTCAAGGAGTCCTAGTTTCTTTACAAATTGAATTAGAAATAAAGATTGGGTACCAGATTTACTGATTGGGGCATCTGTTGATTTGGGGCCTTGTTAGCTGACACAGCAAATAAATATATCTGTGTATACTACCACACACATATAAATTTATCTATAAATATTTCCTCATGTGTTCATGTGTATCTTTATTAAGTTAAATATGAATTCACCTAATGTCTCTAATACCACCAGAGTCTAATCCAGCACCACATGAGTCAGTCTCCCCATTCCCTCTACTTCTACGTAACCTCTCGTTCTAACTGTGAGACATTTGACCTCCTTTACTTAATAATTGAGTTCCAAATTACATGTGCAGTGGCTTCAGAATAGTTAATCTATACCCCTATGGTGAACAACATTACCAACTAAAGTACAGTGCTAATGGACACTCCTTTGGCTTTTAGACTCAGAATTTCCACTTATTTCCTAAGTTACTTAGGTAAGCTCCTTTCCCCACCTACTCCCTTCAGTGAGATTATTTTATACATTTGTTATGCATTAATCTTATTTTGTCTGCATTTCTCCATGGGATCCTCCAGCCTATGAACTAGATTTTTAATTTTCAAACATTTAAGTTCACTCTTTGAGTTATAAGGTTCTACAGGGCTTCAAAAACAGTATGATATACCCACTATTACCATATCCTTCAGATGAGTCTCACTGCCCTTTAGAAGTTCTATGTACTTTACATATTCAGCCTTCCTCCTTCAAAAGCACCTACTGACCATTAACCTGTTTAATATCTTTATTGTTTTAACTTTTCCTGTGTGTCATATCAATGGAATTATACAGTCTGTAGTCTTTTCAAACTGGCCTCAATCATTTGAAAATATGTCTTTAATTTTATGAAGTGTATGGTGTTTTATATGTCCACTTCCTTAAGAACAAATGGTGTTGAAAATCATTTCATGTACTTACTGGAGTTTGTATTGCTTCTATGGAGAAATGCTACACAATTTACCAATTTTTAATTTTTTTATTAAATTTTGTGGGTACATAGTAGGTGTACATATTAATGGGGCACATGAGATGTTTTGGTACAGGCATGCAATGTGAACTAATCATATCATGGAGAATGGGGTATCCATCCCCTCAAGCATTTATCCTTTGTGTTACAAACAATTCAATTACACTCTTTCAGTTATTTTTACATGCATAATTAAGTTGTTATTGACTATAGTCAATATTATGCTCTCAAATACTAGATCTTATCCATTCTTTCCATTTTTTATGCCCATTAACTATGCCACCTCACTTCTCGCCCCGCCACTACCCTTCTCAGCCTCTGATAACTAACCAGTCTTCTACTCTCTGTGTCCATTAATTCAATTGTCTTACTTTTAACGTCCACAAATAAGTAAGAACATGCAAAGTTTGCCTTTCTGTGCCTGGCTTATTCCACTTAACACAAGTATCTTCAGTTCCTTCTATATTGCTGCAAATAATGGGATCTCATTATTTTTTATGGCTGAATGTAGGCTGTTGTGTATATGTACCACATTTTCTTTTTCCATTCATCTGTTTATGGACGCCTAAGTTCTGTTCATTTGTTGATAGAAATCTTCAATTTGCCCATTTTTAAAGGAGATATTTGTCTTTTTTGTTTTGAGCAGTAAGAACTTTTTATATATTCTGAACAATGGATTCTTATCACCTATGCAATTGGAAACATGTTCTTCCTTTCTGGGGGTTGTCTTTTTGGGGGTTCACTATCATGAGAACAATGTGGGAAAGACTTGCCTCCATGATTCAATTACCTGTCACCAGGTCCCTCCCACAACATGTGGGAATTCAAGATGAGATTTGAGTAGGGACACAGCCAAACCATATCAGTATTCATAATTATATTTTCAATAATCTTTTAAATTATTTTCATTTTTTGGCATCACTATTTAATAATTGAATAGGATATCAATTTGATTATGAAACACAGATCTTACTCATTCTCTGTTTTAATGTTTTCCAAAAATTCTGACTAAAACATTTCTGGTTTAGAAGGAGGGCAATTGAGACTTTTCTGAGAGCCACAAGTAAAATTTTCTGTCTCATGCTTAAAGGGACTGTGGATATTTTCATAATGTAGGTTCTCATTGTGAAAGGTTCAGAAAGGCATTGATTTGTGTGGACAGAATATGAGACTGCAATTCTGAGTGCAGAGACTAGCCACTTGTTTACTGTACAAGTGTGAACATTATTTCATTGTTTGATTTTTCTCCATGCTCAAAAGCTATTGTCATTTGCTGGAATCTTTGACTCCTTACCCCATTTTTAAAATAAATGTCTGCATGACATTTCCTTGTAAAGACTGACCATAACATAGATATATATTCTTTTTGTTTACTATTTGAAGAGCTATTACTAAAACTTTTCTCAGTTTTCAGTGAAATTAAAAATGCCACACAAAAAAATATGTATGTACATGTGCTAGAGATAGCAGGTATTTTTGTAATATTGGCTTGTAGAAATAGAATTGCAATCTTTCATTTCGTTTTTGTTATCATCTAGCATAATATTTTTTAAAAGATCATGTTGGCCAGGCGCGGTGGCTCAAGCCTGTAATCCCAGCACTTTGGGAGGCCGAGGCGGGTGGATCATGAGGTCAAGAGATCGAGACCATCCTGGTCAACATGGTGAAACCCCGTCTCTACTAAAACTACAAAAAATTAGCTGGGCATGGTGGCGCATGCCTGTAATCCCAGCTACTCAGGAGGCTGAGGCAGGAGAATTGCCTGAGCCCAGGAGGCAGAGGTTGCGGTGAGCCGAGATCGCGCCATTGCACTCCAGCCTGGGTAACAAGAGCGAAACTCCGTCTCAAAAAAAAAAAAAAAAAAAAAAAGTTATGATTTTTCCAGATTATAATTTTGATGGAATTAGTCAATAATTTACCTTTTTATTATTTAGCTGATCCAGTGATGTCCATTGTTTCAGGCTAAACCTTTGGCACATTTCTTACATAGTTACATGTGAATAAAAGGCTGAGTGTCAACTGGGCATGGTGGTTCACACCTGTAATCCCAGCAGTTTGGGAGGCTGAGGTGGGTGTATCATGAGGTCAAGAGATGGAGACCATCCTGGCCAACATGGTGACCCCATCTCTACTAAAAATACAAAAATTAGCTGGGTGTCCTGGTGCACGCTTATAGTCCCAGCTACTTGGGAGGCTGAGACAAGAGAATCACTTGAACCTGGGAGGCGGAGGTTGCAGTGAGCCAAGATTGTGCCATTGCATTCCAGCCTGGGCAATAGAGCAAGACTCCGTCTTGTCTCAGAAAAAAAGAAGGCTGAGTGTCCTGGTTACTGATGGGATCCTCCAAACTAAATGAATGCTAATTTTCTCATCTGAAATCACCAAAAGACACAAAAGCAAGTACAGGACAGAATTCAAGGCTCTAACAAACAAACTAAGACTAAGTTAGGACCTGCAATGTGGAGGGCCCTAACATCATATTATTTTCTTGAGAGGAACACATTATCTGTGACTTAAGCATTCATACAAGGTAACTCCAGCCTGGGTACAGGTGACACAAGCAAGACTTTGGGTGACAGAGCTACCCTAAAAATGTTTAATGATCACCATTCTAA